GCTGAGGGACAGCGCCCAGGCCCAGAGTTCAGGCCCCACGACCGGACCCAAAAATAAATAAATAAATAAAAATAAAAGAAAGAAAAAAAGAAATGTAAGAATCATGTATTGAGCATTCAAATAAAAATTGGGATTCAATCAAAAGATAAACAAATGTTTAAGTGGCGTGTGCGTGTGCGTGTGTGTGTGTGTGTGTGTGTGTTTGTGAGAGAGGAGAGATTCTTCTATTTATACTTCCTGCACAAGTGAGATGACAGATGCATACCACCATGTCTAGCTTTTTATTGGTTGAGATGCTTGAGTTGGTCTTAAATTGAGATCCTCCCAATTTCAGCCTCCTGAGTCACAGAGCCTTAAATTGAGATCCTCCCAATTTCAGCCTCCTGAGTCACAGAGATTATAGGCATGAACAACTGCCCCAAGTGAAAAATGTATTTTTCTAAAGCTCAAACTGGAAAGAAAGTATTTTATTCTACAACAGAATGATCCTCTGATTTTTCTGTTTTGTTTGTTTGGTTGAGAACATTATATAGTAAAGGAAAGTTTTCTATAACCCCAAATTCTTAACAAATATCTTTTGGCATCCTCAAAATTGAAAGGAACCTTTCTTTTTTTTCAGTGGTGGTACTAGGGTTTGAGCTGAGGACTTTGTACTTGATAGGTAGTCACTGTATACCACTAAGACACACCTACAGCCCAGAAAAACCCTTTCTCAATAAGCTAACAATAGGGGGAAAATGACATGCAATACATTTCTTTGGACAATTAAAATGCTACTACTTGTGGAATTGTACAAAACCTACATCTCTTACCTGTTTGAAGAGTACTAGGAAAAGATAAGGTGACTTTTTCATCTTCATTCTGATAGTTAAATCCTGTAGCATGTATTTCTAGAAAAAGGGGGAAAAAATTACAAATGTGAGTTGACTGGTAAAATGAAATCTTACTAGAGGTATTAACATTTTCAAAAGCTCAAGGCTAACATTCTATCTCTTTGAGTCTCAGCACTACTTCCCGTTTTTCTGGTGGCTAATTGGAGATAAGAGTCTCAGGGACTTTCCTTGTTTGGGCTTGCTTCAAACCACAATCTGAAGATCTCAGCCTCCAGAGTAGCTAGGCGTGAGCCATTGGCACCTGTGGTTAAATTAAAACTATTTCAGCTGGGTGCTGGTGGCTTACAACTGTAATCCTAGCTACTTCAGGAGGCTGAGATCTTAGGATCGAGGTTCAAAGCCAGCCCCGGCAGGAAAGTCTGAGGCTCTTATCTCCAATTAACCACCAGAAAACCAGAAGTGTCGCTGTGGCTTGCCTTGAGCTGAAGAGCTCAGAGACAGTGCCCAGGCCCAGAGTTCAAGCCCTACGACTGACAAAAAAAAATTGTAATTTTTTAATTTAGCAAATCAAGTTTCTACTAACAAGAGTGTCATTTCAACTTCACATATTTTAGGTTATACAACCTAAGTGAAATAAAATTATATATTATTTATCCTTGAATAATTAGTCAAGGGAAGGTGGCTCCGTGGTATGGTATAGTGCTTGCCTTGCATGCATGAGGCCCTGAGTTCGATTCCTCAGCACCACATAAGCAGAAAAATATGGAAGTGGCACTGTGGCTCAAGTGGAAGAGTGCTAGCCTTGAGATGAAGATCTGAGGGACAGCACCAAGGCCCAGAGTTCAGGTCCCCCCCCACACACACACACAAAATTATAGTCAGGTGCCAGTGGCTCACACCTATAATAACTATTCAGGAGGCTAGATGTGAGAATTGTTTAAAGCCATCCTGAAGCAGGAAAGTCCATTATTAGATGCGTATCTCTACTTAACCAACAAAAAGTGGAAGTATGGCTCAAGTGGCAGAATGCTAAAATTGAGTACAAAAGCCCAAGGACAGTGCTCAATCTCTAAGTTTGAGCCCCAGGACTGGCACAATAATAATAATTATTATTATTTTAAGGTCTGCACAGGGACACCTCCCTACGTCTTGGCTAAGTTTCTGCCCAGTATCTGTTACCTAGGCAACTGGCAGACCAGGAAGCAGTCACCTTCCCTCCTTCACATCCTGGGCCACCTCTCACACAAGCCTCCCATCTTACCTTAGGAGGGTCCCAGACCCTGAGGTCATGTCCAGATCCAGTGTGGCCACACCTCTTCCTGTCCCTGGCCTAGATAAATTCTGACCCAGGGGTGGGTCGCCCCTTCCTTTTCAGCCATGCCTCTCCGCCATGCACGGTGGGGGCAGCAATTCAGTAAATAAACTTCTCCTGCCTGAATATCGTGTGGTGTTCTCTTCATCAGCTACCTAATAAAACCTACCTATGAAATATACCTTACAATTATAATTATACATCCTATATAAATTCACAAACCTTTAGTGATGTAAGAGAAATGGTGTTATACTACTATTACAAAAGCGATAAGCTTTTCTTCTTGTTTAGTTTTATTTGGGGGGGGGGGTAAGTCAGGGAGCCTGAACTCTGGGCCTCAGCGCTTTCCCTCAGCTCTTAAGCTCAAGGCTGCACTCTACCACATGAGCTACAGTGCTACTTCCTGTTTTTTCTGCTTATGTGGTGCTGAGGAATCGAATCCAGGGTGTCATGCATGCAAGGCAAGCGCTCTACCACTGAGCCACCTTCCCAGCCCCAGATATTTATTTTATTTATTTATTTATTGGAGACAGGGCTTCACTAAATAGCACACACTGACCTCAAATAAGGTTTTCTATCACATTTTCAGATGTACTTCATTTTACTTTTTGTGTGCCTAATTTTGCATCCCCCCCCCCCGGTTCTGTCTTAAACTCCCAGAGCTAGATGCTGTCCTGAGCATTTTTCCTCAAGGTTGGTATTCTACCACTTGAACCACAACTCCCACTTCCAGAATTTTGGTGGAATTTTAATTGGAAAGTAAGAGTCTCAGGACCTTTCCTGCCCAGACTGGCATCGAACTGCAATTCTCAGATCCGCTGCCTAAGTAACAAGTATTACAGTCATGAGATATGATTTCTGGGCCCCTAATTTTGCTTTCTATGCTGCACTCCTGTAAGAGGTAACCTAAAAGATGTTTTTGCTGAGCCTGGAGCTGATGGCTCACACCTGTAATCCTAGCTACTGAAGGTTGAGATCTGAGGATCACGGTTCAAAGCCAGCCCGGCCAGGAAAGTCCATGAGACTCTTATCTCCAATTAACAAAGAAAAAACCAAAGTGGCCCCATTTTGGCTCAAACTGGTAGAATGCTAACCTTGAGCAAAAGAGCTCAGGGACAGAGCACAGGTTCTGAGTTCAAGCCTCATGACCCATAAAATAAAGTTTTTGATGAACCCTGTGAATGAACTAAAAGCTCCTCCAACTCTATATTTGTATTCTTTGACCTATTGACTGCTGCTATTCACTGCTGCCATCACTTTACAATCACCTTGGGTACCAAGAAAGAATAGATTTCCCTGATAAATACCTTATGTGGAAAGTAAACTACCCCTCAGTCTTCTTTTCCTTTTAAAAGATACAACTTGTTCCTGTTCTCATTCCAATGGTAAAGTAATAATGATTCTCCAGAATACCTCCAAGGACAAAGACTGCAATAAAAGTCAAACCAAGCCACACTTGGGACTGTTCTAACTATGCATATCTTTCTCATCCCCAGTTCAAATTCTCACTACTTAACCTGAAGTCACCACTGGTATCCTCGAAGATGGCTAAAGAAGAATGAGGTGCTTTTGTCCCATGACTGCAATGTGATGAATTTCCTTTCTCTGCCCTTTACCATGTACTTTATTTGGTATATGGGGGCAGTGGGCAGACCTAACTTGGGACTTCCTGGACTTTAGACCTAGGGTTTAAAAATCAAGTTAAAAAAAACTTTCGTGTGTTTTTTTGTGTGTGTTTTTATTTTTTGGCCAGTCCTGGGGCATGAACTCAGGACCTAGCTACTACTGTCCCTGAGCTTCTTCTTCTCAAGGTTAGCACTCTACCACTTGAGCCACAGCACCACTTCCCAGCTTTTTCTGTTTATATGGTATTGAGGAATGGAACCCAGGGCTTCATGCATGCTAAACAAGCACTCTCTACCACTAAGCCACATTCCCAGCCACCAGCTGCAGTCTTATTCAAGAACATTTTAAAGATCTAATAAAGTGCCAAGATTTTGGTGCTGAAGATATAGCATGAATGTTCTGTACCTACACGATAGATAACAACTCAAACTAAGAAATGAATCACATGTACTTCTGGTAAAAAATTTTGTTTTTACATTTTACACAAATAAAAAGGATCAGAACACACTGTATGAATTACACTAAGGCTTTATTTACTGTTTCCCCTGCAGTGAGAAAACACTCATTCAAATGACTGGTACTTTACTGTACTTAAATTGTTGACACATTAAGGAAAGAACTTGTGAGCCAAGTTTAACCCATTCCAAATGAAAACCCAGCCAAAGTAGATTTAATAAGCATGTGAGAAGATACTCAGTATCATTAACCATTAGGCAAATTTGAATGAAACACCTTTTCAGATCCACTAGAATGACTGTTATCAGCCTGGGCAAAAGTAGACCCCACCTCAAACAATATGCTGGGTGTGATGGTTCATAATAGTTATCTGAGCTACTTGGTAGGTCTAGTTAGGAAGACTACATTCCAAAACTGGTCTCTGACATAAAACAAGAGACCCTATCTAAAAGCAAACCAAAATAGGACTGGAAATATGTCTACGCAAGCCTTGCTCCCAAATGTTCATAATAAAATTACTTATAGTCACTCCAAAGTAAACAGAGTGTTACTTATATATCCACCAATTGATAAATATTAAAAGGTGATGAGTCCAGAAACTTAAATGCTATTCAATAAAAAGAAATGATATATTAACACATGCTACATATTTTTAAAAATATTATATACTGGGCTGGGAAGGTGGCTCAGTGGTAGAGCACTTACCTTGCATGCCTGAGGCCCTGAGTTCGATTCCTCAGCACCACATAAGCAAAAAGAAATGTACTCTTTACCTGACTTATGAGACTGTAACCCCTCTGTAGATCACCTTTATAATAACAATAAAAAAATTTTTTTAAAAATATTATATACTAAAGTAAAAAAAAACTACATACAAAAAGCCACATATTCATATATACAGAACAGGCAAAACTACAGAAACAAAGGGGGTTGTAGAGGGTTGGAGGATTGAGGGAAATGAGAAATGACTAATGGGTCTTTTACAGAGTTATGAAAATGTCCTAAAATTGATTCTGCTAATGATTATAGAACTCTACTAATATACTGAATAAGCCAGGCACTGGTTGCTCACCCCTGTAATCCTAGCTACTCAGGAGGCTGAGATCTGAGTATAGTGGTTCAAAGCCAGCCCAGGCAGGAAAGTCCATGAGACTCTTATCTCCAATTAACCACCAGAAAACTGGAAGTGGTGCTGTGGCTCAAGTGGTAAGAGCACTTGCCTTGAGCTGAAGAGCTCAGGGACAGCGCCCAGGCCCAGAATTTAGGAGCCCTAACGGACAAAGACAAGGACAAAAACAAAAACCTATTGAATTGCATATGCTTTAAAGGAAGAGATATACTGCATGATATGCGAACTATATCTTAATAGGTAGACAGGATTTCAAAATTACTGCTTCAAACATGTCTCTTTAAAAGCTAAAATCTGAGAAACTGTAATTTCATATTTATTTATTTAGCCAATTCTGAACTCAAAGACTCATACTCTTGATTGGCTCCTCCAGCCCAGCTTTTTGTTCGTTAACTGAAGATTAATTCCCAAGGACTTCCCCCCCCCCCAAGGACTTTTCAAGCCCAAATGCTGACTCAAACTGTAATTCTCCATACTTCAGCCTTCTGAGTAACTATGATTATATGCATGAGCCATCCAGCTTATAATTTAAAATTTTTAAAGAATTTTAATCAGTCCTCAAACCAACCTTCATTTATAAGGGAAGAATATGAGGCACATAAAATAAAGGATTGACAGACTACAACTCTTTCTACTCCTATTGCCAAAACTCATAAGCTGCCTTTTAAATTTAAACAGAACCAAGATTTAGAATATTCAAAATGGTGATAAAATCTCTACTGTAACAATTATGGTTTCTATTGGCAGAAACTCACAACATGCTGTAACTTGAATCTTAAGAATTTAAGAATCAGCCGGGTGCCAGTGGCTCATGCCTGTAATCCTACCTACTCAGGAGGCTGAGAACTGAGGATCACAGTTCAAAGCCAGGCATGAAAGTCCATGAGACTCATTGCCAATTAACCACTAAAACCAGAAGTGGCACTGTGGCTCAAGTGGTAGAGTGCTCAGGGACAGCATTCAGGCCCAGAGTTCAGCCCCAGGATCAACAAAAAAAAAAGGAAAGAAGGAAGGAAGGAAGGAAGAAAGGAAGAAAGGGAGGAAGGGAGAAAGGGAGGGAGGAAGGGAGGAAGGGAGGAAGGGAGGAAGGGAGGAAGGGAGGAAGGGAGGAAGGGAGGAAGGGAGGAAGGGAGGAAGGGAGGGAGGGAGGTCATACTTAGCCTAAAAGGAAACACAAAACTCAGCCTACTCCTTAAGAAAGCCCTTTTCTTTTCTTTCTAGGTTTCATTCTGTAGTTTCTTTGAGATAGGGGCTCAAGTTGGCCTGCTATATAACCCCAGGCTAGCCTTAAACTTTGTATACTCTAGCCTCAGACTCTCAAAGAGCATAACAGAATGGAACAGTCCTTAAAACGATGCTTTCTTGCCCAGGTTAATAGCAATCACTTGTAATCCTAACACTTAGGAGGCAACAGGATAGAAAGTTGGAGACTAGCCTAGGCTACACAGCACAAAAACTGTCTAAAGAGCCAATTTGAAGTGGAAGGGGAGAATGTCATTTTGAAAAGAAAATGGTGTTGTGGTAGTTCCGATCAAAGACCATTTCCATTAATGTATACTAAAGCCAACTTGTTTTTATATATCAACAAAAGAGTTTCAAACTAGCACACACATACAAGACTAGTAGTTTATAACCTGAAACAGCAGGGCTGAGGTATTTGAGGTTTAGAGGACCTTGGCTCAAAGCCAGCCAAGGAGAAAATCCCAAAAGACCCACCACCAATTAACTATATAACCAGCAAAATGTCACACTGGAAGTGTGGCTCAAGTGTAAAGTACCAGCCAAACAAGGAAGAGGCCAAATTCAAACCCAAAACACCCAAAAAAAAAAAAAAACCTTAAAACAATTAGTTTTTATACTGATACAGTCTCTTCCACAATACTCTTAAATGTACATTTCAACTATATTATATAATTACAAAAAAAACAAATTTTCTTCTAAATTTCTCTCAAAAAAAGTAATTATCATATATTTCCATTTGAAAAAAAAATT